CCACGCACAGGGTGATCTGCGTTTACTCGCTAATGGGGACTGCCGCGTTAATGCGGTTAACGAGATTAACACTGACAGGACAAAAACCCAGATGATTTCCCCCCGAAACAGATAATTTTCAATAGCAGATGGTGTAAAAACGGGAACCTTTCTCTCATTTGATTGTTTATTTCTGGCTTCATTACTTTGGTGTTTTATGAATGGCAGTTGGTGAAGGTGGGGGTGGGGGGGTTTATTAATAGAAAAAGGTGTAAAACTTGTGAAAATACAGTTAAAAGTTGATTATCTGTGCACTTGTTCACATTTTCTAAAGCTGTTCAGTGGGCCAGATGGGAGTCTTTGCTGGGTCAAATCTAGCCCCTGGGCCTTATGTTTAACACGCCTGATCTACAGGTTTAAACATTATTGGCTATTACTGGCCAGATGAATATTAAATCAATGTTGCTATGTGGTAAACTGTCCACCCTCCACAGAAAACTGTCTGGACTTTTTTAAGTTTCTTGAAGACGTTTCATCCGAGAAGCTTCTTCAGTTCTAAGAGCAAAATGGTGGAGAGGCCCAGATTTTAAGCCCTATGGGAGTGTCCCCAAGAGGGTCATGGACCCCCTATTGATCACCTTGGCTCATGTGATTGCTCTTAGAACTGAAGAAGCTTCTCGCATGAGAGGTGAAACGTCTTCAAGGAAACTTAAAGAAGTCCAGACGCTTTTCTCTTTCTTTCTTCACAGACATGTCGTTCTCAGCAGCACTGAGAAACTTCTCCTCTTTGTCATTTGGTGCCAACCGTCCCACAGCTCGCGACCATAAAAGCGCTGTGTGGCATTTATCGCCACACCACCTGTGGTCCTAAGATGACACTGAAGGAAAATATTAGAGAAATGTGCCCGTTTGACACAAACCAACTCCTGTACAGTAGGACTGCAAAACAGGCCTGCGCACACTCACAGCACACATCTGTGTCCATGCTCTCACATAGGCACCAGTATAATTAATTTATGATCCGGCCCTGTGATTTATTTTCGTCCCTATCTGACCTTATGCGCTCCTTGAATACGAAATGTCCGCGAGGATTCGCGGTGCTTGGCTGAGTTGAAAGCGAACGCACACACAAGCTGCGCAGCTAGAGTCCTGCTGGACCACGTATCACAATCCTTCATTTCTCCTCGAAACGCTTCAGCTCTCTCACCTTCTTCCTGCACCTCTTTTTCGCTCATTTCTTCCATCTCCCACTCTCTGCTCATCCCTATGGAGCGTCTGAAAATAGCAGCTAAGGGAAATGTGGGTCAGCTGCCATGTAGTGTGTGTAGTGAACGTTTCTCTGTGTGTTTTCTACCTGCACCTCCTTAGCGTTTTTCACATTTCACAGAAATGAGCACCACGTATGTATGCTGCAGTTCTGCAGTGTTATTTTTGTTTTTTACTTTATTTTCCACTTGTAAGCCTGTGAATGTCTTAGAACTGTATGTGTCATCACTCCAGCAAAAACACAGGAGAAGCTCAAACCTTTGTTTAGCTTTAAGTCCTCTTCACACTGAAGGTCCCTTTACCTCAGCCAGGTACAGGGACCTGTCATTAATTTCCATTTTTGTCAGCTACCAATTTTCTATCATGGTAGCTGCCATTTGTGGACTGAGGCTGCCTCGTATTGCTACAATTTAAATGGAGCATTTATTATGCCTTATTTCTGTTTCATCAAATTTGGTAGAGTTGCATCTAACCATCTTTAGAATGAGCTCCGTATCTCCAGTGCTTGTTTAAGGACTGTTATTTAGTGGCGATTTTTTGGGGGAAATGCTTTTCTCATCCAGTCATCAGAACAAAACTGAGAGGATTTTGCTGCGTGGGTATAAAAAGTTCAGCATATGTCAAATGAATATCGTACGGTAAAATCTGATATTGTGGCAGAGAGTGAAATTATGTTTGACAAATATAGTAATAATATCAACAATCTGACATTCACCTACAGAATGATCCACCATTTGGTGAAAGTGGGGAAGAAGAGCAAACTTAACTAGGGCGAGAGGAAAGAGAAACACACACAAAGTACAAGAACTACAGGAAAGAACGGGTCAAAATGAATGACATGCAGCAGTGGCATATGAATACATGATGACTGAAAAGAGGGGAGGGAAGAAGAAATGCCCATGTCATCACAGGAAGTCCCCAATATCATGAGCCTATAGCAACGTAACTAAGGTATGGTCACCTGAGTTTAAAGTAGAGATGGTGTCTGCCTCCTGAAGAGTCTGATAGTTGAAGTCTCTGCCACATATTCGAGTTTTAGAAAGTTTAGGAAGCACACGTTACCCTGTACACTTAAAGCAATGAACTCTTTTGGGATAACCTCATAGTGTTAAATAATATATATTAATATATGATCAAGCCTGATCATACAAGACATTAACAGGGAACTGGTGAGGGAAAAATACAACCTCTGTTAATACTCTTCTTGCAGAATTTGTACCAACTGAAAGCTCTTCTCCTCACAACTTTAACTTAAAAATTAATTTGGTCACAGTTATGTTATATGCACAGGACGCTGCCATGTTGCAGTTTAGTTGTAGGTGGGCTATTTTTTTAACTAGAGTCGTCACATGTCCAGTGTTATTTGTAGCTTGCAGTTCCTCCTGCTAGACGGAGAAGCTCCTGCTTTTAAAACAACACCCCATTAGTAATGTCTACGAGCTGTTATCGTTATCTATAACTGACAATTTGGTGTTAAGTATCATTTAGGAAGAGTAGAATAGAATAGAATAGAATAGAATATCCCTTTATTGTCATTGTACGTGTATAATGACACTGTGAGTGGTCCACACCAACTGTGCAGGAATAAAATATAAATAGTAAGACAGTGAATATTGTAAAGGTTTTAAAACGACACAAGCAAGACGTTTTACTGCCTAAAGCTAACCAAATGACATAAATGAAAATAAATGGTTACTGAAAGCTACAAAAGGGCCTCAGATCAGAGCTGAACTAAACCCTCTTGGCTGAAAATGAGATTATTAGTTTCTTATTTGGAAGACTTTCAAACTTGTTGGCACCACAGGCACATCAGTGACCGCCTGTCATAAATGTTTGACCTCTTATCAGAATATAGTGGTTGGGGATTTGGAGCGGGGACATCGTCCTGACACACCCAGCAGCGAGTTGGGAGTTATTTGCTCGCGCCTTGTCCCATCTCATCAAGCAGATCCCAGAGCTTGCCTTCTCCACCTGGGTGGTGTCTGGCCCCCTGTAGCACCAGTTCCTGGAGATGATGAGTTTGCAGAAAAGCCTCCACTCCCACTCAGCGTCCCACCTTCTGTCCAAGACACGCTGCTTATCTTGACTGTGCGCTGCAGCAGTCTTGCAGAACTGCTGCGGCTCACATACCTGTGGACATTGTGGAGCTGATACTATTCCAAACTTTATTCCAAACTCCTTTCTCTGTAACATTTAACGAAACTGATTTTTTTCACAGCAGCAGTCCTGGCCACAGCAAGTTTATCTCACTTTACCTCATGCAGCCTGACCTTATTGAGAAACGTTGGAAGTTGTTGGTCTAAAACTAGCAAAAGACAAGAAAGGAAAGAGGAATTAGGAAAAGAAAAAGACAGAACATTACAAATTAAGAGGTCTAATACTTCCAGGATTAGTTAGCAACAGCAAAACGCTATGCACCTAAAACTTTTCCACAGAAAGTCTCTGAAAAGAAAAAGGGGAAAAATGCTCAGCAAGAATCAGTGTAATTGTTTATATATATGCAAATCTCATTAAACCACCAAACAACTGTAGCGTTACCTCTCATATAATCAATTTTTAATAAACGGAAACCAAAAGGCAGTGAAACTGGTGGATTTTTCAAAGAATTTACACATTGAAATGAGCAGTTTTGTATTTTGTAAATGGTTTTTTTTTAGCAGTTTGTTGGTACCAGTCTTGATTTGAGCAAAGGTACAGTAGAGTGAGCTCAGTAAACTGAAGTAATCTGGATACAAAACCCACTGGCCTAAAACCTGCTGAAACATATCCCATTCTCAGCGATGCTGAACGTGAAGAGTCACTGCCGTTTTGATTGAAGCTTCCTTTTGTCACAGTCGCAGCTGTTTTCAGCTGTGTGGCCCAGTGTTGACCTAATTATCTGGTATGTGTTATACTAATATAGTCAACCCTGATGGCTCCAAAGAGCACAAACAGAGAGTACTGACACAGCTACAACTTTACAGAACTTGGCAAAACAAGCACAGATGAGTGTTTTTAAAGTGTGCATTGGGGTGAAAGGGAAGAACTGGATAGCACAATGATAACGGCCTGGGTTCATTCTAATCAGTCTTCCATATCACAAAGTTTTATTTTAGTCAATGTTTCTTTCCTTAACTGATAATAAAGCAGTGGCTAATGATTCAGCCTGTTTGTTTTTTTTAGAAAGGCAGACCTTCTACTCTATCTGACACCCATTTTCCCATTAGTAAGCTGGATATGCTAATGGCCACGCTAATAGAAGCCAATAAGTGGGTTATTATTTTTTATCCATTCTCTTATTTTGAAAGTTAACTCAAAAACACCTTCCCGTCTTTTGTTTTCTCTTCTGGTTGGCTCACTTGTGGCGGTCCTTGATATCATTGATCTCATTCAGCCCAAGATGGCGGCCATCCTGGGCTTCAGCTGGGGTCCGTAGTCCTTCCTACGGTGCGAGTTAGAAATGTGCTCTAACTCGAACATGCAGCAGGTGGAAAACCGGATCATGCGCTGTTATGATAAGTTCACCAAAGCTGCAGAGCAGAACAAAGAACCTTGCCAGCTGTATTCAAAGACTGTTTGGGTCTATTTGGGTATTTTAACATCAGAACGGCCGGGATTTCCTATTATCACATTCTCTTACATTACAAAATGACATTTTACATTTCGTTCCTTTGGGTGAAATGCACTCACAATGAAGCCGATGCTTGTTTATTTCACAGTCATGTGTGTGTATATATGTTTGCACTGATCTTTTACTTTGCTCCTCTTCTTCCTAGGATTCAAGTGTCCTGTCTGCTCCAAGTCTGTGGCGTCCAATGAAATGGAGGTTCACTTTATCATGTGTCTAAGCAAGCCTCGCCTCTCTTACAATGGTAAGAAACACCTCCTTCTGTTCTTTTTATGATCGATCTGGTAGAAATCAGGCTCGCTGTGCCAGGGAACAATGAACTTGAAGGCCTTGAAGCTGCTGCGCTCATAAATATTCGTGACAAGGTGGGCGGGTCTAAAGACAGGAACATGTTATCGAGCTAGTCCTTCAAAAACATGATAAATATGAATGAGGGGCAATGAGGAAAATCATAAAAATTCATAACATGAATTTACACAACCCGACAGTTTCAGCCATCCACTTTGGAAAATACAAACACAGCTGAGGCTGCAAAGCCCTCGACTGCTGCGCTCTGACATGTGACCTCTTCAGTTTCACAGCTCTTACTGGTTCTGTGTGATTCTGTTATGCCTGTTGGGGGTTTTTACTTTTTGCTGTCATTCTACTGGAGTACCAAACTGTACTTGCAAGATCCAAGACACGCTGCTTATCTTGACTGTGGGCTACAGCAGTCTTGCAGAACTGCTGCGGCTCACATAACCTGTGGACATCGCGGTGCTGATACTACCAACCCTGCCTCGGTACATTGAGTTTTTTCTTTTATAATAACAGCCTACATTGAGTCTCAGCTATAAGAGTACAGTGTGTATTTAGTCTTCACTTTTATAGGTTTAAGATGAGTTGGTATTAAGCTGCAACCTCCAGGGCTAACAAACCAAGCCATAAACTGCAGTTTCTGAATTCCAAAAGCAACTCAGTCACTACTGACTGCCATGATGACGTGTCCAACTTTACAGTAGGCTTAAATATGTTTATACATTTGGATACTGGTTAGGTTGAAAATTAGGGGTGTTTCTGCTTTGAGCAGGGCGCCAACCTATGCTTGTTTTATGGTACTGCAGTTGTTTTTGTCTGGGTATGAATTTTATTACAAATAGAAAACCAACTTATCATGAGCAAGTTTGCATTGGTTGAAAAACCAATGTACTATTGCCGGGTGTAGGTTGAATGGTGACTGGTTGAGAAGTCGGCCAGAACAAGGAAGAGACCAACAGGGACAAGGAAAGTCAAAGATGATCAAAAGCAGCATGAAGAGGACTCCGCTTCACTTCAGCTCTTTGGATGTTCTAACGCCGTTCTTCTCTGTGGCTGAAGGATCAGTAGCAGCACAAGCAAGACTAGCTCACAGACCAGTTGCCCCTCAGCACAGTACACAGCTACAACTTCAACTTCATGTCTTCAAAGCTAAGCTCTGCACACGAGCAACGCAAAAGAATGAAAGGCCACAAATTCTCAGCTTACTCTAAGTGCTGAAAACAGTGTAGGGATGTGGAGCCGGGCATGTCAGGGTCTTTTGTTTTACTTCATTGACCATGTGGGCAGTGCTGCCCTGTGTCACTCTGTTAGCTCATCCCTCCCTGTCTGCTGCCCGGCTGTTTTTCTCCCTGTTATCTAACCAACAGTTATAACTGATCATCTGGGACTTGTTATTGTGTTTCTAAGGGATTACACCTGCTGTTGGTTCAAGTACATCTTGAAATTGTTCAGCCTTTGTTGGATTGATCAACTGATCAATGAGTGATAATGAGCTAATCCCAGTGTGGGACTGCAGCTGGGGAAGGTATCATACAATGCAGTTCTCCAACTGCTGCAGGATCAGGTTGGAGTGGCTTTTAAGCTCTCAGCAGATAAATACACATTATCAGCTGCAGCCCTTGACCAGTCTGGGGCTGTGTAGAGAGCCCAAGGGGACGTGTTTGCTGGGTGGACTGTAGGTATGTGAGGGTGAATGGTTTGCCTCTTGTTCCGTGTCAGCTGGGCTCCAGCCCCCAAAGTAGGCAAAGAAAATGTATTGAGATGGTAAGAGCTGTGAATAACCTTCGAAAAACAACTACGCATGCACGGATCCATCAGTTTTCTTCCACTTGTCAAATTCAAAGTCGGTAGTGGAGGTCGGCAGTCTGTCACGTAGCTAAGGCATAGAAACATTCACAACTACAGCAAACTTGGAATGATCACCTAATCTAACAAACATGTATTTGTACTGTGGGAGGAAGCCGGACTATGAAGAGAGAAACCACACATGTAAACGTCCCAGCAAAAGATTCAGATCCTTCTTGCTACAATTCAAACTGCTGCACGCCTGCACACAACTAAACTTTCAACATAAGACCCACCGGATTGTCCCAGGGAACTGATGGTGAAATCCTTTGTTTTCTTGAATAAACTCTGGAAAAATATATTTGTTGGGCTGTTAAAATATGTGGGTGGCCTTCTAAGTAAAGTCTATGTTTACCTCGAGGTGTGGGCCAGTGTTCTGACATCGCACACATTTAAATACAGCATCGTTCCTAAGTAGACGACCCACAGGATGGTGAATATGCATTGGGAAATGAATTCACTCATGGTTTTAGGAAAAATTTGAAAAATAAAGCACAGGTTTTATAACACTGAGCTCTTTGGTCCATTTTAGACTCAGTTATAAATAAATAAATACTGAATTTTACCATTTTTAAAAAGCCAGATGATTCCTGACTTGGGGGAATATTGCTGTGATTCTGACATCATTCATGTTTACTGTTACTCGGTGTCCACAGTGCTGCTCTGGGCTATTTATGAATGACATAAAAAAGTACATAAAGCTGCTGCAGACACACGGTCTACCTTCCAGTCTCCTGTTATTTCCTCAAGCAGGCTCCTGTTTTAATTATGGCCTCGACTGCCGCTCCTGGTTGCTTGGAGACATGCGGTCATCATGTCTGTTTGTTGCCCCACAGCAGTAAGTTGATTGACACTTACTTGTTTGACTGTGTGTCTAAATGGGTGACCTTGTAAAAGTCTGCTCATACGTGGTGCTCATGTTTCTGAGCGTAACAATAACTAATTGAGTGAATTTGTTAGAGGCTGACAGAGACGGACACGAGAAGTCTTCAACCTGGTCATCGAGGCCGGTGCAGTAAAAAAACTACTGTAAGGCCTGCAGCTGAATTTGGATTGAGTGACAGAGACAGAGAGAGGAGAATTTTAACTGTCTTAAGGAAGATGGGATCCAGAATGATGGAGGACCCTGATGGCTGATAACGGACGAGAGGAAAGGGCAAAAGGAGAAACACTCCCATAATTCCTCCTTTTTCGGCACCTCCTGTCCTTCCTGTCACTCTTTATTTCCAACAAATTACTCTCTCGTTCTCCCTCTGTCCCTCTCTCATCTGTGAGTCTGTCTGTCTGTTCCTGCTGTGTAATCTCGCTGTAATTTCTTTTTTCCCTCTATCTTATTCCGTGTCTGTTCTCTTGGGTTTTTGAGGCCCACAAAATGGGCTGTGCTTATCTTGTTTCCCAGCATGCTCAGGGGTGTATTGTCAATCACCTGGACCGACTGACTGCCGCACATCGGCACATCACACACATACACTCACACACACACACACACACACACACATCTACTGTTCAGGACATTCATGAATGCACTGATAAACCTCTAAAGTTAAGCTGACTTGCTTATAACCTGCTTTCAAAATGAAGTTTTTAATACCACATCATCTGCATATATTTGTAGTTTTGTAGCAGAATTGTCGGAAGTGCTTCTTCCTGTCAGGGTGTTGATAGCCATTACATACATTTCAAATTTGAAGCAGTACAACTGAGCAGACTTTATTCAGTTTCAGCGTAGAGTGCCTGTCTGCTGTGATGCACTGGATTCAAGGGCAAGGTTTCATAGCCTTTTGGTCGAACGCACAAGGTTATGGCACATATGGTCAAAGGACCACTTGCTTCACACCCAAATGAATAATTACACACTTATGTCATGTAGAAACTTCACTAAGCAGGTTTAAATGCTTAGACCTGAACAAAATCACAAAATTCTTCTGGCTCATATCCTTTTGATACCCCTCTAACTTCCTAATAAAGATTTTATCGCTCTGTGAATGAGGGCTGTTATCGTTCTGCATCTAACTGTGGCTGGCACATCAAGAGGCTGGACTCAAAGGACACCTTGTACATATCTCTGAGCTACTTGGAGTCATTGGTCAGCCCTGGCTTGTCATTTCATTCTGGAATTTAGACTTGTGACTAAATCCTTTCTGCTGAAGCAGGCTTTTTACCAGGCTCAACCTCACAACAAGAAGGTTCCTGGTTCAAAGATGTTGGTGGCCTTTCTGGGTGCTTCAATTTTCTCTGGGTACACCAGCTTCCTCGCTTCAATAACAGTAGAAAAACATATATAAAGTACATTACATTACAAATGTCATTATTCAAAGTGTACATGTGTTTATGAATCTGCTTGGCTATGTTACTACATGGTAACACTATCAAGAGTTAGAATTAGAAACATATGGCTTAGTTAGGTAGTAAATGTGCACATATTTATTCAAACTGTGTCGGATTATCAAAGACATCATTAAAACCTTCTGGTTCTGATGCCTCAACACTGCCATTTTGAACAGCCTCATATTTTAGCATTAGCCTAGCCAAACATTTAGCTTCATAGTGGCCTCTGTTGATAAACTGAGCCTCTCCCACCCAAAGCCTGTAATTTTGTACTTTCTTCTTGAAACATCACATTATTTCACAAATGACAGAGCATTTTTTCATTTATAACTTCTGCAGTATCATAAAAGATAGGTCACTGTTGCAGGATTGTGGAGGAACTGTAAAATCTCACCCTACTTCATAAATCCATATCTTTGTTATCATATAGATTTAGTATGAGTAAGCTAATACTGGCAGTGAGTAATAACAGCATTCTAACAAAGCTTTTTAAGGGCCAACATAATGTAAGGGCGTCTTGTGGGATTAATTTGAAGTTTAAATCTCAGTACGTTGAAATAACGTCCTTTTTGTGTCTATGTGCTTACCCACCTGCCTGAGCAGTGCAGAAGCAGGTGAGGGTTGTAGGTAGCACGAGTCCACGTGAGCTGACCACCGGATATTTTCTGGGTTTTGACTTTCGCATGATGTTATTTTAATGCCTTGCACTAAATATAGCTCGTTGCAACGAGGGTGAGAAGGGGCCTCGTAAAGACCTGGAATGTCAGGGGGAGG